TAGCGTCGTGAACACGCATGTGCGCGCTTTCAGGAAATCCTATACACTACTGTTTATGCTCTAAAAACATTCTAAATGACTTCGTTTCGAGTAAATTCTGGATGCTACCCACTCAGGACACTTTGGGTGTACTATTCCTTTAACCCCACACTGCTCCCCATGGGGAGGGGTAAATGCAGAGAATTAATTTCATTGCTCTGTACTTGTGACAGAGCACTGTCATTCCATGTCAGTGGAATGACAGTAAAGTTGAATTCTATTCATTGCATTGTTGCCAGGTTGGGCTGATGTAGATGGAAAAATGCCAGGGCTGAAAATCGTTCCCAGTCAGAGCCTTCTACGCTTTAATCTTGCACCCTCAGGGCTAAGCCCCCTGATCTCCTAGAATCCTAGATCCGCCCCTGGATAATTATAATGAGTGGAAACTGATCAGAAGGGCGGAGGCACCGTTTCTACCTTGAAGTAAACTTCTCCTCACAGATGGAGAGCTCAGCAGCAGCCCCCTCAGCTCCTGGATCAGCTGATCTCTGTTTAAATCGGACCGATCCAGTAGCTGCTGGACGTGTTCGGCTTCAACCAGCCGGGCTCCAGCCGCTCTTTGCTCCGCGCTGCCGCTCGGTGTGCTCAATCCGAACACCCGCTCCTTAGACCCGGTCACTGAGTGCCACCACTGCCGCAGCAGGTTCCCCCGCAGCTCCACGCCCAGCGGACCGTAGCTGCAGCTCCAGCCTCTCCGGAAAAGCTCCGCGTTGCTTTCCCCGGGAGAGATGTAGAATCTGTCCGCGCAGAGCTGCAGCAGGACACGGAGCCGGTCCGACCCATCAGCCGCTGGGCTGCAGACTCCTCTGGTGCCTCCCGAACATGAATGTGACCGGATGCAGCGTCTGATGCTCTGGATCCACATGTTCAACTTCAGGTCCAAACATCAAGTTAAATCAGGGATTACGTCATCTATCCGAACCTTTTGGGCCACATAAGATTACAGCGATGTGTTTACATGTGCGAATGAGATGCTATAAAAAACAACTTGCAAGAAGCTAAGCTAAGTGGCTAATCCCGCTGCATTTACGGCAAAAATGTCCGCCGTTTTCCAGTTCCGATAAATATGCTGCAAAATCATCTGAAAAACATTTCTAGTTTACAAAAACTACGGCTGGGAAAAAGTTTCTATGAAGAAACACGCAGCGTGATTCCCAGATCCGGAAGTTAACCGATAACATCCGGGTTACGAAGAGACTGACTCTGGTTACCAGGCAACGTGCAATGTCATAGTTGTTGGTAAAAGACGGCGTAAAAAGCGGCGAAATCTCGGGAGAACGCGCGTTTTTTGCGGGTTAATTTCAATCTTAACGCGATAATTCAAAGCGAAAAGTGACCTTCTTGGCTTGCCATAGACGCCACATTGGACGCTGTCGGCAGCGAGGCCGATGTAACCATATCTATGGATGTAACTAGAGGTCGGCCATCTTGGATCAGACCACAGTTCAGACAGCTGCTGTCACAATGAATTGGAGGCAGCTCAGATCAGAGATAACATTACAATAATGTCTTACATGTCACAACCCCTTGAAAGATCAAAACAAATATTAACATTACAGATTTCAATCAGATTGAAAACTATTTAAACTGAAGTCAAACTGGATGAGATATATGCAAAGTTAAACGTTTTGCAATTAAATAATGGATATATAAATAAATGATAAACAAACTGTTGTTAAAGATTGTTTTACAAATAATTTATATTCATATTGTATATCATTTAGAATTTTAAGTTATTTTTTTAAATTAATTTTATGTAAATTTCTTTTAATTTTGTTATTGTCAGGACTTTGCTGTCAAATCGTAGTGAATGGCAAATTGTTGCATCTATAAATGCTTTTGTCCTTATGTTTGTCTAACCCTCTTCCAAAACTCTTTTTCAAACTTTTTTTTTTTTATCATATACATATATATGAATTTCTAATGGTCTTTTAAGTGGTTGTGACATGTATGAGATTGTAATATTATTGACTTGTATTTCATATGATTAGGTGTTTGTGCAAATCCCTCACTCAGAAATTCAGATCCATTCAGAAACTTTTAGCCTATTTTCAGTCAAATCTTTGGGACGAATAAATCACACTGACAATTAAAATGCATTCGTTTGGTTTAATCTTAAGAATCAGGTTTATTGATATATGCTGTTCTAAAAACAAAAAAATCACTTTGAACTTTATCACGAGTCTGAAGGTTTTGAGGGAAAAAAAAAAAAAAAAAAAAAAAAGGGGCATATTTACACACATCACACTTAAACCACCACTTTTTATTTTCTCCTCTTTATTTAAAACGGGGCCACCGGCACCCTTTGATACAACTTCCATTACATCACTTTAAACTGAAAGTGAACACAGGATTACCTAGTAAAAATAAATTACCGAGGAATGTAACAAAAGAAAAAAAAATGAAAAAAATACAGTCCAGGAAAAAGTGCAGCAAACTTGTTTACACGACGGGAGGCTATGATCCCATTTACTCTTCTGGGTTTACTGAATAATTCCAACCATGCTGTAAGCAAAACAACATTAAACAAAGAATAACAAGATTCGTACGGTAAGACTGCTTTTCAAATGTGTTTATATACAATATTTACTGAGGGAATGGTGGCGGCATGGGGTAGGGCACCATGGGCGGTGGGGGCGGGGCCTGTTGGTTCTGTGGTGGAGGCTGAGAGTTGAAGGGGAAAGGCGCGTGGTTCACGCCGTTCTGAGCGGGCCTTTGCATGCCGCCAAACTGAGGCGGGCCTTGGAAGTTCTGGTTGCCAAAGCCACCTTGGTTTGGTGGAGCGCTGAAATTACCCTGTCCGTTAGTGTTGTTGTAATTGTTGCCATAGTTACCACCGGGATTGCTATTGCCGCCTCCGTAATTCCCGCTATTTTGGGCTTTGCTCCCCCCGAAGGCAGTTTTGGGCCCGTTGCCGAACCCTCTATCGTTGTCCCTGTAGCCGCCACCGCCAAAATTACTTCTGCCGCCCCCTGAATACCTATCGCGACGATCATCCCTGTAACCACCTCTTCCCCCCCTTCCACGACCTGCAGAGGAGAAGAAAAGAAAGGGAACAACAATGAATATATAGCAATGTGAGGGAAAACTAAAATTCAAACATTAACTCTCAAGGATTTTGATACTGATTAAAGAACAGATGTAGATGTTGGTGAAGATTCTCAGTCATTCCAAAAAAAGTTAAATAATCCACTGGACTTTGTTTCACAGACATTTTGCTTCCTACACGCCCCTCTCAAACCACCCGTTTTCTTTTTTCTTAAAAATAAGTGGTTTGAGAGTGGAGTGAAGGAAGCCATCTATGTTCATCTGTTTCTATTTGCATGTTTTCTAAACAAAAACCAGGCTTTGTTGGGCTGCTGGATAAAACCTGGAACTCAACGCTTTTTCTGACATTTTGAACTGAAAAAGCTTCCTGGATGGAAGAGAAACGTCTTCAAACTTGGAAACAAAGTCCAGTGGATTGGTATTTAACTTTTTAGGAACAGATGTAGATTGTGGCTCACAGCTAAAAAAAAAACAAAAAAACATTTCACTTCTGAGAAGTTATACCAAAACTACCTTCTAAAATAAAAATCTTCACAAGGAGCATAAGCTTTAAAAAGATGATTGCTAAAGAAACGTCTCACACTATATTGTATTTATAATAATGGAAAGAAAATATGTTGAGGGAGAAAAAAAAAAACAACACTCTTTTTAATGTTTCACAATTATCACTACTGGTTACTCTTGTTGAGGGTGAGCATTTACTGTATTGTTTATCTTTATTGTGAGAAGTTTCTAGTCAGAGAATTTTGATCTAAGCAATAGATTAGAATAAACATCGAATAAGAACTGGATGAATCGTCATTTCCTTTATTCTTTTTCTTTGGGGAATAAACAGGATTACATTTTGTTACTACAAGATGTTTAGTATTATAAACAATACTTTTTTAACTGTTTTGGAAAAGCCCACTTTAAAGGTGATTATTCTTCAATAGTATAATCATTATTGTGGGGCAGATACCAAAGATGGAGAAAAAGTAATTTTGTCACTTTTATTGCGAGATTTCTGATGCAGTCACAGTAATACAGCAGCAGCCATTTAAAATGGCCCTTCCCAGTCAAACGGCAGCCGAATGGCAGCCCACTTCCCTGAAACTCCCAGCAAAATCCCCTCAAACTTCCATCCACTGCAGCAACCTCGTCTTGCATATTTTTTTTACCCCGACTCCACCTTTTCACTGAATTACAGGGTCTGACCAGGAGATGGCGCTTCTCCTTAGATGTTAATGTCCACATATGACAAAGATTTTAGTACAAAAATTATGTTTAAAAAGGAATTGTAGGGGACCAGCCAAGCGCCCATCAAGGAAAGTGGTGAAACTTTGAAAGGCTACTACTGTAAATTTTGTTTAAAAGGTTTAATTATTAAGAATAGAACCAGAAGTTCTGATAAAACCTGACCTTAGCCTTACTTTTTAGCTTTCTAAAGTTATACATTTCTGTAAAACCTAAAATAAAACTACTTTTAAAGTTTTTATTAACTGCAAGCCACAATCAAACCACGAATGTCTGAATTATCAGTGGAAAATACACATCGAGTAATTCTAACTTCTTGGTGCCACATTTTGAACGTTTAAATGACCTTTTTTAATAAATGAATAATCTCTACTTTACCTCCTCTGTCTTCTGCCATCTGGATCAGCTTGGGATTGATGGCCTGGTTGGCCTCGCGCAGCACAGAGATCAGGTCACTGGCCTGTTTCATGTTGTTGGGGGTGAAGAAGGTGTAGGCGGTGCCCGTTTTTTGACTGCGGGCCGTGCGGCCAATGCGGTGGATATAGTCCTCGGAGGAGTTAGGGTAGTCATAATTGATGACAAATTTCACATCCTCCACATCTGTGAAAGTGTTGCAGTGTGGCAAAACAATACAAAGGAGGCCACCGGATTTTGCACACCACAACAGCCAGATCAAAAGGGGAAAGTTAGCAGCTGTGAAAAATGCTGGAGGGGAGAAAAGCGGTTATTTTTGGCTGTGGAAGGAAAGACAGCGGTGTTAAAAAATAAAAGGAGTGTGTACACATCTAATCCATGGGAATACTACTGTGGGAAGAGAGAAACGATGCACACTCCCATTGCTTACCCTGATCAAGAGATTCAAGGACATTCTCCCTTTACTACAAAGGGAGATGAGATTCAGGTCTTACCATTAAAGGAGTATGCATTCACTAGTCCTTTCCCAATGCAGCCAAATCCCCCACATATTATCAAGTGACATCCAGGAGCTTCTACGCAGTTAGGCCAACCATATGCACTGGGACCTCCTCATGTGCCAATATAGGACCATTGAGTGGTACATTTTTTTTCAGGTTCAATGTTTTCCCAGTACATTCTCATAACAACCTTGATATTAAGGCCGCACTGCACGTCTTGCCAAGACAAACTAGACCGTGTACCAATTCAAACCGCAACCAAAAAGAGTCCCAGCATTGAACCTTGTGGGACTCCGATGCAAGGCATACAGTTATGCCCCGCCTCCCCCTTTATCAGGTTCATCAAGGCAAGATCTTCCAAGAAGCCAGTGTTCACTTGAGAAAATGTCTCTCGTTGGCAGGTCTCGACATGACTATAAAACACAGGCGAGGGAGGAACTTTGGTTTCAGCTTTCTCATTCTCCTTTCTTAAGATGTTCCCCACTAGCCCCTGAACACATGTGCCAGGTCTCAATTTTAAGAGACAGAAAAAAAAGTTTTCAAACTGCTCTCTCCATTTTAACGGACTCCAGCGCGAGAAAACAAACCAGCCGTCGAATTTCGACGAGCTGACACCCATTTCTACGTGAACCGAGCGGCTAAAAGCGTTAACGTTATGTTCCAAATCTCAAACAAGTGACTTGCGTAACTGCAACCTCTCACAAAACATGCAAGGCCAATGTCACAGCGTCAAAAAAATGTGGGTTTTTTTTTTCGGATGTTTGAGTTGGAACCAGCTGGATGGGTACTTGTTGGGTGAAATCCATGGACAGAGAACAGATGTGCGAGTATTTCAACATCATATCAGAGACAAAGGCTTAGCCACGCAGCCTTTTTGAAGATCACTGGCACACAAGAGCTTTCACCTCTCTAGGCCCACTGGGTGGCAAGCCAGTTGAGCAATTCCAATATGTCCTCCTTCTCCCTCTCGAGGCCTGGGACTGTCATGCCTAGCGCCTGCCACAAAGACTCCACCTTAAGGTGAGGAAAAACTCAGAAAATGCATAGAGAAGTTAAAGAAAGCAAAAAACTTTCTTTAAAATAAGGAAACACTGGTAAGTGGTGCAACTGAAAGGCATACTGACCTAACCCACGGGAGGCCACGTCTGTAGCGATAAGAATCGGAGCTTTGCCGAATCTGAACTCTGAACAAAAGAAAAAAAAACAGAATCAATTATCAGACAGAACCTTCTGGTCCCAGTTTGTTTTTCAGTGACTTGGGAGCGTCATACCATTAAGGACCCAGTCCCTCTCCTGCTGGCTCTTGTCACCGTGGATTCCCATTGCTGGCCACCTATAATCAGACACGCACAAAAAAAAAAATGAATAAAATAAAAACTACTTCTTCAAAGGAAAAGTCTGGTAATATTCAGAATTCAAACTTCTGCAAGTTCTTTAAATATGAAATTATTCCATCCTGTTCAATAAA